TACGATACTATTTATTTAGTTATCGTAGCCTTAACTTTTACTAATATACTTACTACGACTAGCTAGCCGTAATACTTTAGGGAAGCTATTTATAACTACGACACTATTTATTTAGTTATCGTAGCCTTAACTTCTATTAATATATTTATTATAACTAGCTAGTTATAATACTAAGCTCTTTTTTATAATAAGACTTAATAAGTTTAGAAATAGCTATATTTTATAATTAAAAAATATAAAAAGTATATAATAATAAGAATAATAAGTAAACGTTATTTTTATAATACTTCTATATAAACTTCTAATTATTATATTAATTAAGTTTAAATAAAAACTATTACTATTAGACCGACTTTCTTTTATATATAATTAATGACTTAATAGCTCTATTATTAATAAAAATATACTTACTAATTAATACCTAAGTACGCAAACTAAGTTTTTCTTTTATATTATTATAACGTTTATTATACTTAAAATTAGCTTATTAACTCTTTTACCCTTTATTATATTAATCTTATTTATATTATACTTATTAACTTATTAAATATTAAAAATCTTGAATATATTAAGTAATCTAAATTATAATTTAATTATATTAATAATAGCTTTATTAATATATTAAGAATTAATTAAAAAACTTTTCTAGACCCTTATTAATAAATTATTTTTAATAAAAGTATTAATTTATTTCTTACTAAGTAATTTATTACCCCCCTAAAATTTTAAAACTTACTTAGTAAATTCCTTAATTTATTTATAAATTAGTATACTACTTAGGTAATACTAAATTTAAACTTATTATATTAACTAATTCTTTTATTATAAAAAAAGCTTTTAAAGCTTTATAAATACTTTTATTTTTGTTTAATAACTTTTTTTTTAATTTTAAAATATTATTTTAAGAACTCCGAACTTAATTAAGGCCCTTTTAATAAAAAAATTGTTTTTAATAGTATTAAGAGCCTATTAGAGCTTATTTTTAGTATATAATACTATTATATATTAATTAATTAGTATATAAAAAAGAAATATATTTAGACGATTTTTATAATTATTATATTAAATTAAAAAAGTAAGTAAGGTTTTAATATAGTGGCTAGGAGGGATTTTTGGGGGGGCCCAAAAGGGGGGGGGGGGCCCATAAGTGGGTGCTTTGACTTATCACCGATTCCTTGTCTCGAGTTACGAGCAAGTTATAATACTGTTGTGTTCGACGTGTCCTACACAGGCAGTTATTTTATTGTGGCCCGAGGCCGGAGGTAACGCAAGAAAATGTTTGTGAATTATTAGTCCATAGTTTTCTAATTGTGGTATCAAGCCAAATCCCGTATTTACGAGGTTTAACAAAAGTCGCAGCCACCTACCTATGAGCCTTCCCCTCTCAATGGATCTGTATTAACAGATACATGTATCATTGCCTATGACACCAATATGGACTGCTAGCTTCTACCTGTCTCGAATCAAGTACCTCACTCGTACCGACTTACACGCAATATGAATTTTGAATTCAAATTTGCCTGCTGCCATAGAAGTTGAACAACGTAGCCAGCCGCGTGACACTTGGCCGGCCTACGGGAACACATTGATCAATGGAACGATATCAACACTTTCGAATTGAACTCAATGCAACACCATGCCCAATTAATATCATTCCTGCGTCTGCCCAGTTGCTAGTGCCAAATCTGCTAGCACGACAGGCTCTTTGTGTACAGGAATCGCCTTTCCGATCCGGACATCCCCCTTGTGCTTTCGGAGAGCCTCAATTATCATCCTCTTCATGGTACGCTTTTTTTGTCGAGCTTCGCGGAGTCTGGCTGGTACATCGCGATATATTGATCTGTTCTTTTCCGCTCGGAACTCCAGCATCTCGATCAGAAGCTTGACTCGACGGTATTCAGAGCGGAAAACTTCGCCTTTTGTGTCCATCTCTGCGACAAACTCCCTCTGGTGCTCTCTAGGGATTACGGGGGCACTCGTCATGTGTGCTAAAGGGATAGGTTCTATCGTAGGCGTTTCGGCGGTCATTGTGAATTTGTAATCTATCGTGCCCCGGATTTATCAGACACGTCTTTTTAGAACCCACATTAGAATCACTGATTGAACTCTTGATGAGCAAGGAAAACAAGGCATCCAAGCATCTTCAGTGACCCCGACATGCAAATGCGAGTTTCCTTCTTCCTGTGATACTGTGATATTGAAGGGCAGGACTAAGAGCTTGACGCTTACAACGGAATGGATTCAATAGCCCGCAGAATTGCCAGCTGAGCTATCAGGCACATAAAAGGTTGCGAATGGTAGTAAGTAAAAACTGCTGCAATTGATGAGAATTACTGTGTCCCACGACGACTTCGCGGGCCTGGAGATGAAAGAGTAAAGTTTGTGCCAGTCTCTGCAAAGCCAGGGGCGCTTCGATAAGCCCCTACCTTGACCAACGATTGGGTCGTGATTGGAATCACGCTCGTTAGTGGCAATTTCAATTGTTTGCTTCCTCTTTTGGCCTGCGGCGTTGGCGCCACCAACGACAAAAAAACGACAAGCCCAAGTCACGCGATTGGTGTTGGAAACATCAGCGGCCGAACGCCGGCCACGCCAAATTACTGATGGCTGTCCGACCCTCAAAACAACAGCCATTGACTTCATGAGAATGTGGTTCAATCCAATCAGGACGTAGCCAGCTCCGAGATCCCGTTAAAGTTTATTCAGATGCATCATGGACATTACCACGTTTTGTGACGCGTCCGACAGAGCTAGCAGGCGAGGTAGACTGCAGGGTGTAGGTAGCCAACACTACGCAGGAATACCGACGCCCGTATGTAGGTACTCGCCGCAAGTAAGAGACAGGGATGCTCGTCCTTTGTGTCGGATTCTCAGTTCTTTCCAGGTTGTGAGTGGACAAAACGATGGTTCTTTTCTTGGCAGACATAGTGAGGAAACCGGGGAAGGGCGGGCAGTCAAGCAATGCCGCGTTGGACGGCAGAGATGTTTGCTCGATACTGGTGATACGTGCCAGCAGAACAGCTATTCAGCCGGTTTGAGGCTCGATAATCTGACATGGAACTGCGCAGTGGGATGCGAAAGGTGAAAGTAGGTGCAAGAGCTGTTTGCACTGAATTCTAATTTCTGCCTCCTCCACAACGTACCAACGGTATGAGATGGTGGTAGTAGTGTCGCCCTCAAGCCAAGCGATTCTTATACGATAGGTCCATGAAATGCCCCAGACGTGGCATAATGAGACGATTGGATCAGAAGATCCCAATGCACGACTGCCTAGGTTTAAGCTTGGTGAGAATGGAGGTTGGAATACGCTAAGCTCAGATGTACCAAGAGGCGCTGCGACTATCTTGATCTTCAACAACTACCGCAAATTGCTGATTGGAGGTGCATCTAGCTTTGTTACATTCGACATTAATTCTCCCTTCAATAGGAAGTCAATATATGACACAAAAGCTAGGAGTACATTCATGCCTCGACGCCTCACAGTATAGCAGAAGGAGAACAACAATGATAATGAAGACAAGGTTCAAGCGTGAGATATCTCTACCAAGTGACGAACTTGAGGCTAAGAAATGAAGAGTCGTGGGGATGAACTCAGCTAGGTACCTTACAAAGGTATCTGAGGATCGACTTGCATTGAGTAAAGTACATGTGCCTCCAGATATTCGTTGCTCTTGCCATAACTCTCTCATGTGTTTTGGGACAACCACCTCATGGCCACTCCCCAGCGGACAACGGAAGGTACGTTGGATTAAGATATCGATGATCGAAACTTCCCTTCCGTGCGCTTCTTTGATTACCTACACTCCTTTCTCCTTTCTTTCCGCTTCCTTCTGGTTCTTCTTCCACAACCTCCCGTCGTCAAGGCAAAACAGATCGGCATCATTCATCAACAGCTGCATGTCTTCACTACACGCATCTTTTTTGGCATTTCAGCAACTGGTTAACCCAAATAAGAGGCAACGAGCTTCAGGCATTACTTTCAGTGACTCGTTTCCCAAATTCTCAAGCGACGGTCCGAGTCCTGCAGGCCAGACAGCCACGGCTCCCGTCACGAACACCAGTGACCGACCTCGTCCACGATCCAACCAAGTCTTCGGGCGATTACAACATTGACCATGGACTTCATAACCACCATGACTGATCGTCTGCTTACTGCTGTTGGAGTGCCCCGCATTGTGTGAGTTCACTGCTTTTGGTCTTGCCGGCTCTTCGCACGTTACCGCCTCTCGCTAACACGTCTTGCGCACTCTAGTGACAGACCGCTGGACGGATGGCACATGAACCCCGAGAAGCCAGAAATCGGAATGATTCTCACATGTATGCCATCAATCGCTCTCTCTCCTTTCTCATTGCGGTCAGGTTGTGCTGAGACGACTCATTATCTAGACCCGCCGACTTACACGCAACCGCCGATTGACCACGTCCCCGAACACGTACTTGCTTTCAAGCCGTCGCTCTTCGACAGTGGAGGAGAAGTAAAGCTTGTGCCCCACGGAACTCAACGGAAGTGGCAACATCTCGGAGTCACTGCCCACAGACTCGATCCCGAAGATGCAACCAGACTTCAGCTTCGAACACTTTAGGAGAAATCCGAGAGTTCAGATGGCGAACTGCGAGACATTTGGGCATCTGAATACATGGTTCAGCTTGGTGATCCCGACGCCTGGACCAGTTACTTTGATCCTCTTGATCGCCAAGAGATCCTTCCCTGGGATAAATCAACAGCAAAGGTCATCAACGTCCTGGGACACCATGTTGGCCAGCATAACCGAGTCATCTTACGAATTCAATACGAAGGAGAGAACGATCGGAATGCCGGGAATGTGGACGAGGCGTGGATGAGAACCTATTATCCTCAACTCCTCCGTGAATACTGGCTTCGTTACCGATGGGCATCCTTCAAAGCCCGCTGGGCTGCCCGTCGGGCTGGGAAACATGTCCCGCGACCCGCTACCGATGAATGGTGGAAGCGGGCTCCGTCGAATGTCAAACACGGCAATCTCCAATACAGGAACCGGCTCAATCTCTTGAGCGTCCGACCAAGAAGGCTGCCCAGAATCAGGATTCGAGACCAGATTGCTGGACTATTCCGCCGGTGGGATGATGCAGACAGTAAGTTGAACACACGTGGCCCTCTGATGTCGCATCGTACTTGTCTACTGGTTGACTGCTAATGGATCCTGATCAGCGATCCCTCCTCGTTAGCCACCTGCAACACCAACCTGATACTTCTGCGAGCCATATATGGCCCCACGCTTGTTCTGCGTGTAAGCATGTCTGGATTCGATGTGCCAGCGACTGAGTTGTCGAGATGGAGAGGATGGATCCCATCAAGAATTCCAGAGGAAACACCATTATCCTCACAGCGATCACGGTGGGTGTTGTGTCACAGTCAAGTTGGTTTCGACATGGCTCGTTTGAAAGCTCGCATTAGCGACCTTTGTATTATCCTTTCAGTACATTCTGGGTATCGTAGCGCTTGCTTATTACATTGTCCTCTATTTCTTCACTCGACAGTGCCCCTAAAAGCATTGGCTGTGATCAGCTGGTATTGTGCAAATAAAATCAAACAAACCGATACTCCTGGCTCATAGTAATGGCTCCGGGAGAAAGCAGCGGCTTGCGGGCTATGGGTTGACCCGGCAACTTAGACTAGCCACCTCGTGTCATGCGGACGCTGCCTCCGTCGTGATTGACGTTAGCCCTGCTGCATCGTCCCCCACTGTCTACATGTAGCATTGATGCGGACAGCTGCTGAAGCCGGGCTATTCGCGCGCGCGGCAAGCAACGATGGCGACCTGAGTTGCCTTCTTGTCTTCTTTTGTAGTCGAGATGCAGACTACTGGTTCTCCAAAACGTCAAAGATTCCTTCAAAGACTGGCGCTGGCGCGGGAGGCCGTGTCTCGCCCTTCAGACTCCGGCTCAACGAGTCCATGGACATGGTGGTGGCCATACCCCCGCCCGGGAAACCGAGCGAGACTGATCTCAGCTGTCTGGGTTCGAGCATACCCATTCCGATCTCGGCGGCCCCGGAAGCCGATCGCTCTGCACCGAGGGCAAGGTCTAGCCTTGAAGAGGACCTCCGCAGAGGCGAGCGACCATGCAAGTTGGGCGTCTGTGAGAATGATCTCGATGGTGGGGGAAAGAGGCGAGTGGCCAATGCTGGTGATGATGGCGAGGGTGAAGAAAAGGAAGGCCGGGAGATGGACGATGAAGTGGAGGAGGAGGAAGACCTGCGCGAGGAAGAGGATGCCTGCCGATTCGAGGACATGTACTCAATTTCGAGTAGGTGGAGAAGGTCAGTGACCGTGACACCATCAGGAAGGTTGAAATCTGGCCGAGGGATTCGGTGGTAAGCTGGTGGTCCCACTCGGGCTCCGTTGGTAGACGGCCGACGCTGTTGAGCTTGAGGCTGCGGTGGCGGCGGTAGTGTCGGTTGATGATGAAGATATGATGATGCTGACGGTGGTGGTGATGGAAGTGGTTGGCTGGCGGGCTGAGGTACCTCGATCTCCTCATACCGCGTGGGCCGCGTAACCGTTGCCGGTTCGGGCAGCCCGCTCATGATAACGGGGCCGCCGGCCGGTGAGGAGCAGCTGCTGACGGGACTTGAGAGCAATTCACCGTACCCTTTGGCGGGCCGGTGACTGTGAGCTGGTTCGGGGCCTTGGGAAAACGTGCTGCTGCGGAAGAGATAGTCATCTTTTGGGCTGTCCAAACTTGGCTGCTGCTGCTGCTGCTGCTGCTGCTGGCGCTGCCTATGCTTCAAGGACGGGGCCCTCTGAAAGGCCGTCTGCAGAGAGAGCCTTCCCCGCCGCGACTTTGATAGATTACGCAGAGGATCCCGAGCCGGCGAGTCGGGCGCGGGCGCGTGGAGGCCCGTCTCGGAGACAGCAAAGGGCTCAACGGGGGAGGAAGATGATTTCAGGGCCTCGAACGTCGAGACGGCCTGGGACACGGGAACGTTTTGGTGACCAGTGTGGTTCATCTCCTGGATGAGGTACTGGAGCTGGTTGTCGTCGAGGTCGGCGAGGACTTCGTACAAGGAGCCCAGGGAGGCGGAGGGCTTGTGTCGCCTGGCGTTGTGAGAGGGTTTCGCGACGGCGTCCATTGCGGCGACACTGTGATTGTTGTTGCCGCTGCCAGTCCGGGTATCGTGAGATTCCGTCATGGTACACAAGGTATGTACGGAAGGGGTGTGTACTGGTTGAATGTGGTGGACGGTAGGTAAGTGATTGGTGCGTATCAGAATCAGGCACTCTGGGTGGAATGACACTCTGAGACAGTGAGTCTCATTGCTGCTTCAGTGAAACACGACCCGAAGGGTGAATGAGTGTGGGTTGAGTTGCATGAACTTGCTGCAGCCTGCGGGCCACGCACACCAACGCGCGAACACGGGACGGGACTTCGGAAGGGAGGGAGTGAGGGAGTGAGGGAGGGATGGATGGGTGGATGGAGGGTCAGACCAGCTGCAACCTCAGGTTCAAAGGGGGAAAGATGGGGAAGAATTGATTACGAAAGTAATTATTACTCCGTACAAGGAAGCGCAACAAAAGCAGACAGAACGGCAACCGGGATGAGACGGGAAGAAGGATGAAACAAGTTGTGAACTGCAGAAAGAGAAATGGGCAATTTCAGATAAGCAAGGTCATGAAGTAAGGTAGGTACGGATACGCGTTCAAGATGTGTTCCGTAATTTAATCCCTTTTTCCTCCATAAATAGGATGGACGCGGGTCGCGGGTCGCGAGGGATGCAGCGCAAAGTGTGTGTGACAGGCTTATGCAAGGCAGCAAAGCAGCAGCAAAACTAAACGGTTCGTTCGGGTAGTCGTGGCGGCGGTCGTTTGACGTGACAGGGGTAAAAAGGGGCCAAATCTTAAAACTCTGGGCTTAGGTAATAATTCTGTCCATCATGTGATCAACGAGACCCAGTCAATCATCTCGACTTTGCCTATTTGGGATACGCTCGGGGCGTTGTCGTTAACGTCATTTCGGTTCGAGCTTATCGATAACCTGGTTCAACGATAAGGTGTTTGCAACCTACCTTGATGGAACCTAGGTAAGGGAGGCCGTTCTTGAGGTCATGATTGCTCGTAAGCTCTTCAGATTCATAGCAAATGAAGACCACGAGCTGCACATTCACTGAAGGGAAGATTGAATATCTAGCTATCTGAGCAATTGAACAAAGGGTATCTGACAAACAAAGGGCACTCCAGGCCGTAACCGAGCTACCTTATTCTCACACAAAACATGGCCCATCCCATTAGACTTCTCGAAACCCAACAACGGATCAGCCCAGATGTGACCAATAAGACAACTCAATCCTCCTCAACTTCACTTCCAATCTCCGAATCGTTGTACTCAATCTCGTCCTCGTGTGCATCGCTATCATCCTCTTCATTGGCACCCATGCCATCCACAGCAAACACGTCAATGTGATAATCGCCGTTGTCGTCTTCGTCATCCTCTTTGCTTTGGATAGGAGCAAATAGCTTCTCTTGATTTTCGATGACGACTTGGCGGAAGAACGGGTGGTCATCCTGAAGAGTCTTGCCCTGCGCAATGAAACCCATTGGGGTCGACGTGAAGTCTTGACCGCGGCGGCGCGCAGCGAGCCACTCCTGCACGAAAGACAGGGGCCGCGCAGTAAGACCGTTAGGCGCCACATACACCTTGTGCTTTTCGCCGCTCTGTGTATCGGCAGAGTCGCTGTCTGACCCCTCCTGATCGAGATACCTCAATAGCGGCAGTGACTGATCGATGCCAAGGAACTCGCAGAGCTGGTCGTACTCGGCCCATTCAAAATACAGCCGACCTCCATAAATTCCAAGCTCAATCTTCAGTCAATCCGGAGCCTTCCAATCAAGAGGAAGGGAAGGGATACTGAAAAAGTTGAGGTCGCTGAAATGGAGCATCTTCCGTGTGACTGGTGCCGCGTAGGTAATCAGGTTTGTCGCGCAGTGAAAGGCTGGATCTTTGAGAATAGACAAGAGTATCTCCGCCTCCTCCGGTATAATAATCAAGGCCACTTCGGTCTTACGGCTCCATAAAATCCAGTTCACATTTCGCTGTCCGTTTGTCAGTAATGGCCCATGACAGTACAGAAATCCGTTTGTGAATTAGGTTGCGACTTACCAGAAAATTATCGCTCGTCAGGTCGAAGCTGAGCTTGACTGTTCGCTCAAATTCCGTAGTAACGTAGAGATTGGAACGCGAGGACCGGTCCGAGACCTTGAACTTCTTGCCTATCGCAGTCTTGGACAAAGACTTGATGGCTGGGACAAAGGTATGGGCGCCAGCGGGTATTCTTCCTGTCTTGGCGAAGGACTCGACTTCTGGGTGCAGTCCAGGGAAAGACAAGGCTGTATAATGATGCGGCTTCTTGACTTGGCGAACTGTCTCAACCTCGAAGGCCACCTCGCGTTCTTGTTCAACTTCTTGGAGAGCGGATGCATGCACAGCCCGACCTGTGTCTTGGAATGCCTTGCGTCTCTTATTCAGTTCCTTAACAAAGGCCCTGATCTTCGTGTCTGGCCCAGCCTGGAATTCTCCAGTTCCCTTGATTTTTCGTTTCGGCTCGTAGAGCTTCTGAAGGCTGTGTTGCTCGTCTTGCTTGATCGTCCCAAGATAGGCCTCCCGCTGGTGCTTATCTTTGACAAAGTCCGGATTGTCAATAGCAGCCTGCATTCGGCGACAGAAGTCGATGCCCTGGGAATAGTAAAGTGGCTGTAACTGCTCAATTCCATCGCAAGTGTTGTCTAAGAGCCAGGAAATCCTGCAAATGGGTTAGCCACGTCATTGGACTAGGCCAATCATTACTTACACGTCGCGGGAATTCACAGTGGCCCCATGCGGTTTGCGGTGGAGATCAACAATGCTTTGGTACACTTCTGGGGGAGCGAAAAAGGTCACAGATTGAGTTGTGCCCAGTTGTCTCAATCGCATAGCAGCTGTTAATGTTCTTGTAAGTTCTATGTTCAGGAGAGGCATTGCGTTGAAGTAGTCCCGTTGCCACTCACCTTGAACTGTATGGTCTTTACTTTGATTCAGTCCTAGAGTCAATGCACCACGTGCTGATGGAGGGAACTTGAGGTCTGTACCTCTCCTATGAGCCTGTAACGTAATCAGCAAAGCCTCTCTAGAAGATGCAGCCTCTGAATTACCTCATCCAAGTATACCAAGCATTTGCTGAGGTCATCGGCGTATGGGGAGGCGAGGAGCGGCGTCTTTCTGCCACTTCGCTGGATGATCCATGGCTTGTTGCTCTGGTCAAAGAACAGAGCCGCGGCAGCTTTCTCGTCGACCATTAACCACTGCTTTGCCAGGGTCTCGTTGTCCATCTCTAGGATCTGGGCGCCAGCATCAATCAAAATTCTCATGCCACGACGATGAAGCTCTCTCAATAGATCGGGCTCGGATGCACGCGCCCCACGGGTTCCGATAACCCTGTGGCACTCTCGAGACCGGTCGTGCAATAGGTATGTGAGAACTTCTGCATTGGTGTGTGAAAGTCCAGGAAGGTCGTCTTGCATGATGGTGAGCGGAAGCATTGTACGATTATCGTTCGTGCCACTGAACCCGGTTGTCATGGCGGATGACGAAGCTGCAAGTCTCTGTCCTGCTGGCTTTGCTTGTGTTGACTGATCGGTTTCGTGAACTGAGAAGAGAGGGATATCCCAGCCATTTGACTGAAGCTTGACCTTGAACTGCTTCGCATGCTGAGGAAAAACGAAGTTGTTCACGAAGTAATCAATAGCTGTAATATTGTACCGTAGAGCTTTCCATATCTCACCAAGTTGCTGACCATCGTCAACATTGATCGAGTTCCAGGCTTTGAGGTGCTCAGGGAATCTTGCACTGCTTTGAGTCCACTTATCATATTCAGATGTTGGATCATCGGACTTGAGAAGATGCTCAAGGGATTGGGTCAGTTGGGCGATACTGATGCCGTCGTAGTAGAATGCCAGACATGTGAACAAGATGGCGACATCTGGGTGTCCCCACTCAGACTGCTCACTTGGGACGCCTTTGGCGTGGTAAGGCACCGCAATGGGGTCTCGTAGGGGATGTAGCCCATACTGAACGTTCCATCTCTTCTTCAGAGTCATCATCAAGATGCGGTTAACCAAGATACCCCGTAGTAGGTAAATGGTCTGCTTGACGCTGGGCCGGTCCGGGCATAGATGACGGATACGCTGAAGGGTTCCATCCCGGGGTCTTTCATTGAATAAAAACTCCCTGACAGCAAGTCGGTCGGCGCCGTCAAGGTTCTGCAACTGTAGGATCCCGGCATCACCTCGTAGCACATCTGAAGTAAGGAGCTTGACAAGAGCCTCCTCGACGTCCGTTCGTAAGAAGAAGAGCAATGGGAAGCCTCCCCCCGATCGTCGAATGACTTCGATCGAGTTCGGAAACTGGTGAGCGAGGGCGTACAGATGTCTGTCAACGAGTCGTAAGAGGTCTTGCGCCACTTGCCAACGATGAGGATGCCCATCGACAGTCATCTGTGAGCCGGAAGGATAGATGAGCTGCGTTCTGACAGCCAATGTGTAATCCGACTCGTTCAAAATGTCCCGGCATCGAGTGCGTAGCCACGACTGGACGTTGATCATTGGCCCAGCTTCCGGCATCCTGTTGTCCACCATCCGCTGCAGACCACTTAACATGAAAGACAGGTTGTGCTCCGGTTGGCATACCATGACCCCGGCTTGCTTCATTATAGTTCTATGCATCTTGTGGTATGCTCGAACGAGGTTTTCCTGTGTAGGGGTTCGACGAGAGAACGGAATGTGTCGGACTTGTCGATCGAGAAGACCGCCGAGTCGTGCCTGGAGGAGCTGGGCCGTTTGCAACAAAAGAGCTTTGGGGACAACTACTCTTACAAGGTTTTGGGTATTTGCCAGCGCAGCAGCCACCATAGGTATGATGCAAGATGTTTTGCCTGATCATCATTCGCCATCAGCATTATAAAAGAAGGCATATGAGCCGGTTTGGTACAACTAACCTTGCCCCATGTTCATCTGCAAAACAGAATTGCAACCGGAAGCCGGAGATATTGTAGCCAAGGCGACGTCAACCTGATCAGGTCGAATCATCAAGTTTGCTTCGATTTCGAGAAGTAACCAATCGGGATGCTCGGATGGCTGCCAGTTCAAGTGGCCCTTGTTTGCCATCTCGTCTGCGTATCTTCCAGCATCGCCACGCATAGTAGCATGGTTGATACGGAGATCTCGCTGAGCGTCTGTGATCGAGATGCCAAAGTCCAGCAATGCCTCGAACACTGAGTTACCGAACTGAACGGGCGTGGCTGTTGACCGGAGCTGTTCCAACAAGGTCACCGTAGTGATCGCAGGCCAAAGCTGACCGGCCTTGAGCCAATGCACGCATTCAGCAGAGAGATCCTCGTCGGGTTTCTCTAGAGCAAGAGCAATGGCCTTGTAGCGTCGTTGGGTCGAAAGAATCGACAAAGAAACTTCTCGGGAAACAAAATCTGGTGACGTATCATCTTTGGTGTGCTTAGAGGCATGCCTGGCGACAAAAGCGTCCAGACTCTTCTCCAGGTCCTCCGCATATCTCTGGCGGACCAGCGACTTCGAGTTGGCCAGGTTCGACACAATCTTCCTCAGTTCGGCATTGGCCCCGGTGGAAGGAAGCAGCGTCGTCTTCGCGGAAATCCAGCTCGGTGCTAGAACGTTGGTCCCAGAACTTCGCATTATTGAGGATGAGACCTTGATTGGTTGGCGAATGTGAGCCGGATGGCGGAAGGATTCGACAAGCCGGCCGGCCCTAGGGTCAGTGATCTTGACCTTGATAGCTTCTTTTAAGTTGGTCGTTCCACCGTTGTGAAGATTCGGAATTGTCTTTCTCAACAAGTCAGGCCTCAGCGAAGGGATCTCACCACCACGTAGCCGGTCTCCGAAGCTCTCCTCCGATGCAATGAAGCACGGTGCCTCGTAGTCTGTCTCAGTTCGGTGCTGATCCAGAATAGACTGAACAGTACTCAAGTGTGCACACAGGTCCCTGTTTTGGTAGAGGCGCTTCCATTCCACTCGGACCGCACCCAAAGCAGCTTCGATGTCGACCAGCAAAGGCTTGGGTATGTCTGCAACGCCCGGCTCGATGCAAGGCCACTGCGCAAGTAAGAACTTTGCCAAGAACATGCAATCATTGTCGGCCTTGAGATCCCAGGCTGCTTTCTCGTCTCTCATCCGTCGAAGCTGTTTGGCACTGGCAAAGCTTTTGGGTTCGTCGCTATCATTCTTGGGGGCTGGAGTTTTGAACGGTCCAATTGCTTGGATGAGGTTGTCTAGCTGAGGGACTTGACTGGGCTGGAAGTCCCGATATTCGACCCAAGCAGGTAGCTCGATAGCTTTCAGTTCCTCGTAAACTGCAAAAGCCGCTAGGGTCTTGACGAGGCTCAAGTCAGTTTTCGAGCCGTACGACATGGGTGCCAGCATGAACATCAACAAGAAGGGGATTTGTTGTTCCCGGCAAGACTTGACTAAGGAGCCCCAGTTTGCCGCAATGTCAATTCCTAGGCGGTCGTTCAATGAGTTCTTCTCGCAGCTTTTTTGAAAGCCACCGATCAGAATGTTTTGAGAAAGTTGCTGTGCTAGGCACTGCGTCGTCGTTGCCCTTTGTGGCCAAGTCCGGAGAAAGTTGACAATCTCCAGAACTTGCAAGTGACGCTGGTCAGAAGATGCCGGGGCATCGCGCGACAGGTACTTGCAGTCGAAGGCCTTTGGTATATCTGTGCTGTTATCGCAAGAGCGCTCATAGACCTGTCTGCGAAGCCTGGCCCGATCATGCAGGTGATGGTCGCCTGCGGGCGGCAGTACACCAAAATCGACATCAACGAGTGCAAAGGATTGGAGCTCTGCCGAAATCGACAAAATCTGTTCCACAACGGGCCTGAACATTTCATGCTGTATACCTTCGGTCAAGCTCACGTCCCAGCGATCTGTTTTCATGACTTTGAGATCAGTCGGATAATACTCATGCTGTGCAGTGAGCTGCGCGATCTTGAGTAGTACTCTGACCGGTCCACTGTGAAGGGGAGACCAGGGTTGACATATACCAGATTTTAGCCATTGTAATGCCTCTTCAGTGCCAGTCCGTTCAGTGAGAGGGTCCGGGAACGCCGAAGACGTATATGCGTGTAGCTGTGCTTTCATGTAGAGAAGCATGGGCTCGGGAGCTGACTCGATCCGTCCGAGATGTCTATTGATGACAAACTTGCCATACTCTCCCCTGGGGAGCACTCTCACAAGCATGCTGTCATCGTTTTGTTTTGCTTCCACTGGACCAATTGGTGTCAAGATGCTTCTCTGCTGGATGTCGCGTGGGTTCCGCAAAACTAGCTTGCTTTCGAGGCCGTACCATGTGCCTGCATCTTGATCTAAGTCAATCTCAGAGCCCAATTGAGGTGACACAAGCAAGCGGCGGGCGTTTAAATAGAAAAGAAGTTGTAGCCGGCGTATTTCTACGCTCAAGTGTCCTGTGTTCGGCTGGAACACAAGGAGGTGCATCCGTTCTTCAAAGCCACTGAAAATGCGCGCGACGCGGGTGAACAAGGGACTATACGTGTCGACAAGCCGAGAGCTCTCGTTCGTGCAGCTGCGATTCTGAACATCGAGTATCCAGTAGTGGTGGCCAATCTTCCATTTGTCGGCATTGGGGATGATGAGTACTTTTCCACTGCGTAGGTCGCTTTTTTTGATTTGGGAATTAGCTGAAGTCCCAATTCACACAATGTTATCTCAAAACTCACAGCCAGTGAACGCAATCATTCAAGAGAGGGCCGGGTAGATCCCATGCGTCTCGCGATTTGAATTTGCTTCTGTGTATAAATTGGAGGTACTGCTGTCCTTTAGTTGCCCGAATGACAATAGAACTGCCGTCGTAACCAATGTCGATGCGATATACACGATGTTTTACAGTCAGTGCTGGTACTCGGGTCAGTCAAATCAATCCCACAATCTCTTAAAAATGGTGCTCACTGTAGTCCATGCCAGGCATGTCCGAAGGGCGAGTAAGCAAAGCCTGCTCCCCGAAGAGTTCCGTGAGGACTTCTGTATGTTCAGGCGGTTTGGGAAGTTCCTATCAATGAGTCAACCTATCTCACTCTCACTACCTGACTTCTGGTCAACGGATACATACTCCAAGGGGACGGTTGTTGACGAGAAGCAACCCAGTGCAAGTGTTGTACTGAACCGTCTGCATGCACTCTTCCCAACCATCATGGCCTTGGATCACGCAAACAACCCAGTCTGACTCAAGTTGGAGAGAATAAATTGTACGAGGACGGCCGTCGGCTTCAGGCCATACTTTCATAATTGCGATCCTGAAGATGTCGGGTGCAGACGCAATAGACTTGCGCACCAATGACGATAGACGATATGAGAGCTTCATGTCCGAAACAACAGCGTGTTGGAGAACTTGAGGCAGTGCGCCAACGTCAACAACCAAGTTATCCTGGACTGTAATGCAACACTCGATGTAAGTTTGCAACGACAGCGAATCAAGATTCGCAACCTGATTCGCGTGAATGATGTACGTGCGCTTGCAAAGAATTGCTGCCCAAAGAGCGTACTGTTGACACCTGCGGGCTGTTTCAACATCTTTTGCTCGGAATGTCTCGAATCGAAGCATTTCAACCCATCGCAAGCAAATTTCGCGAGCTCGAATAATAGTTGAAAATCCCTTCGGTTCGGGGTTTGTGGCCGTCAACGCGAAAGTCCGGAGCAGAAGTGTGATTAGAATGTCCATTTGGTATGTTTCGCGCCAGTTGGCTTGCAGGCTTTCCAGTCGCGTCCTAATCTGCTCCACGAGTCTTTCGCAGAACGATTCGTCTCGAAAGATGTTGTGAGTGGCTCGAAGAAAGTCGCCGGAGTTATCTTGCGGGCCGCTTTGATGGACAAGATGGGTCACCAGAAGCATCGTGACTTCACTTGAGAAGTTCAAATTTGTTGAAGCTAGTTCCGCGAGCAAGACGATCCAACGTTGAGCTTTCCCGGTCATGAGTGTTTGCATGGCCAGATATTCGTGGTTATTGATCCCCAGAGGGCAGTTTGACTGGCTAGCAACAACTTCGTAGGAGGATGGACCTGGGCCACTTAACGAGTAAGCTTTTGTCTCCAGGAGCGTACTCCAAGGCGAGCTCTTTGGCAAGACCAGAGCCACTTGGTGGTCGAACAAAGGTCGGAATCTCACGCGGCCGGGCCATGTTGAGGTCGATTCGTCAAAGTATCCGAGCTTCAGAGCGTTTGGGCGGCATACGCCATCACGTCCTCCTTCCCATTCGACTGGAAAAGGCACCGAAGTGTAATGGGTGACATGGACTGTAGAGTTCAGTAGTTAGACATTTGCTGCACTGTGAGATAGGTACAAGAGGCGGGAAGCCGATCGGTATTCGAACAAGGGTAAGAGATTCCAAGATACAGCGGGAACTTACAAGGCTTTGTAGTTGAGGCTAAGCCAAGCGTATGCTGGCTCGGTCTCCAGAAAGACTTCAGCTGGAGATAATCTCTCAGACGACACCGAGGCTGAATGCCTTTGTCGTCGAAGTGAGTCGCGAGCTGTCGAAGAAGCCACCATGTCGTGTCTCGATATGCCGCAAACTCCTTTGGACAAACTAATTCGAAAATAACCGCTCGTGCAACGACAGGGTCGCTAGGGAGAGGGTCTTCGAATATGTTGATGCGCATACTTTGAGCTTTCTCCATCATGGAACATTTCGAACAGTTGCGACCATGGTACCCGCGGCTCTGAGGATTATACTCATCAAAGATGTAAGTGCAGGCGCTGATGTCGATGCGGCTGATCAATTCGTCGTATTCCTTGCTTTTTCTCTTCCACTCCTGTTGTTTTTGATCGCGCATATTGTTGGCTAGCTCAATGATTGCACCGTTTAAGTCTTTCAAGACCGGGCCGTCACTTGATTCCCTGTAGTACCGTTCAGCAAAGCAACCCGGCGATGGGTCCTCAAAGATGTTGCGGCGGCTGGCACTGGCTTTTTTCACGCGAGCCGACAGAAGGTCTTGAAGCATGCCAAGGCGCCTCATATCCACAAGCTGAGGTAGAAGGAAAACATCAAGCATTTGTGGGTAGAACATTGGGTGAAAGTCCGCCAGGAGGGGAAATGAAGCGCAAGCGATCGAATCCATCTTGATCCACAACTCCATGACGATTAGAAGCATCTGGCTGTTTTGTTCTGCGTTGCCCTCGTACAAAGGAATCGCTGTATGAATGTAGTCAAAGATCTGCTGAGAAATTTGTGCGCAGGAATCTTTCGTCGACGCAAGGAGCTCCGTCTCGGTGATGGTCAGCTTATGATAGCGCTGAGCATGATGGCTGAGATGATCTTTGGGTGCCTCGACCGAACCTTCCCCTGGTATTTCCCGAAATTGTCGTCTTCTGCGTGGCGCTTTGTGGCTCAAGAGAACCTTTTTGATGTAGTCATAGCTGACTCTGAGGCCAAGCTGCATTTCCAAGAAAGAGGCTTTCTTTGGGAGCGTGGGAATTTGTTTAGTCAAGCTCTTTCTCGTCTGCGTAATCGCGCGATGGAGAAAGTAGGAACACTTGTCGATGGTTGTGGTGAAGGTAGGATTAAGACGATTGAAGAGAAAGTCGTATCTCGAGATTGCGGCACGATCCTGGGAGCGGCTTCTGTCCAGGTCAACTTTGACGAGCCGGCGGCAGACTTTCTTTTTCAAAAAGTGAACTTTCTCGGTGCTAGCTTGGAAGGTGATTGTGACGTCCAGAAACGTTGACAAAAGTACGCACATGAAGAAATTGTATTCAAGACGACCTTGCTCCGGACTCAACGACAGGCAGAGGAACCTCTCGATGCAGACGCGGAGTATGAGATAGTAAGGTAATCTGCGCCATGGCTTTTTGGCGTGATCCCAGCAGACATCATCGCGAACACGCTTTCTGAGAAGGACTGGGGCAACACGGCGGCCGTTTTCTTCGAGGATTCCCATGAGTAGAGAGGTGATGATGGAAGGGTCACCAGTGTTGCGGTACTCGAAGACCCTAGCGCCGGCCTTGAAGGAGTGAGCAGCGAAGTCCTTGACGGTTTCCAATGACGCCTGCTCACTGAACGTGGCTAAGCTTGATTTAAAGTGATGATCGGCGAAGGTCGTGAACGGGATGGTGACCGCAATGCCGGGGAAATCCCAGAGTAGAGCACTCTTGGTGGCCAAGACATTCTCATTCTTGGCAGACGCTTCGAAGGCCTCGAAGACGACACTGTCGTTGAATATGGGACAGAAGAAAAAACTTGTCAGCGGCCCATGAACTCATGATGATGATTGCTTTTCAGAGTGAAGGAAAACTCACTCTTGTGATCGACGGATGATGAGGCCCGCGTTCTGTTTCTCGATGTGCAGAACAATGCAGCCAGACGGACCCAAGTCGTGCAATTCTTGGAGAAGAATCGCCTTGTCAATTCGTCCGGCGGTGTTGAGATGCTGGCAGGCGGCGAGTGTTTTGCCAATTGAGTTCCAGACATCGCGGCACTGGTCGACGTTGCTAGGCAATTCGCTCATGACCTTGGCGGCAGCAGCCAAACGCTGAACGAGCTCAGATTCGATGAGCTGGATTTGTTTCTCGGGGTCCCGCTGCTGTGGGAGTTTGGCTGGCATTGCCAAGTGGTTGAACAGCGCACCATGGACGGCCGCTGACGACTCCAGCGAGGGGTCCATGGTGGTGGTGGACGGAAACTTCCACTCAGTCGCACAACAGATTGGTGATTTCGCTTGAATTCGGGAACGTCTTGGACGAAGATGAAGATTGCGGACTTTCACGAATGGACGATGTGAAATACGCTGTGATGGTTTGAGTAGAGAGGGATACCCTAAGGTAAGGTAGAGAGGGAGTTTGATGGATGGTGAGGAAAACAAGAAGAAGCAGAAAAAAAAACAATAGACAGGATGGATGGGCAACACCGCAAGGTGGAAGAAGCAGCGTTTGGGGCGAAAGATTCAAAGGTGGGTCTTCAATTCCAAGACGACTGACGGCAATTTGAGCTGGGAAGGTGCATTCGGGGCATAAAGCAGGCAGGCGCGGTCCTTCCAATATCCACGACTTTCTTCCATTGCAGTTGCCATCGGGAACCTGCATTCGCTGCCTAAGGTACCTTATCTAAAGTACCTTCCTTGCCTTCAGGTGAAGGATTGCTTGAGAGTCCTGATGCACCTGGCATCGGTTTTCATAGTATTAACAGTGCAGCAAAGAAAAGCAGGGGTGGACTCATTGCAAATAATTGAGATGAAGGGTCAAGAGAAGGAAAGAAAGGCTTTGTGTTGGAAATACAACCTTCTAGTAGATTGTAGACCTTTGAGTAACGATTGGCAAGATTGTGAAGAAAGGCAACGGTGACGGCAAACTAAAGACAGTCTCATTCAATAAAAGGTGACATGATCCAGCCTCCTTCCCCAAAAAAGATGGAATAATGGCTCCCAGTCCGTCAAGATATCCACAGCATCACCTAATTCGAAGCTGGATATCTCACCTAACAAGCAGAAGGAGAGGTTGTCCAAACTTCCAGTTGACGACGTTAGACGCCTTTCGACAGTCTTATCATGACATTTCACTATCCATGCTCGTTTTTCTTAAAATATCGAAACGTTGGACGCAGTGCTTTGATTGATTTCCAAGACGCCTTTCTTCCATCCCTGGTCGACTATCAAAAGTCAAGATGGCAGGCGTCCAGGACGCGTGGTACATATTGCTTCGAACTATAGTCCACATCGGTTGTATGTTTGTTACAATTACTCGGATAAGAGAGGGAGTTGGCCGGGAAAGATTATTCGAACCGCAAGCTGAGGTACGGCAAATGAGGTTCATCAATAAAGCTTGATGGGGTTTTGTCAGCTGCAGTAAAAAACAATCACAAATGGCAAGTATTCGCTTATATAATCAACGGATCAATCTGCTACGCCACAACTGCCCCAGCCTCACCACTCCGCCGTTCAATTGAGCTGTGCTGAGCCACAAGCTACAAACAGTCGTACCTGCAACAGCTATTACCGCCCACGCCTTGGCAGACAGGCCAGGTGATGCGATTAGCTGATGTAAACTTTGATGCCATGTTCCATTGTTATCTTAATCCCAAAGCCTCATGATATCGCTTGCTATGAGCAGGAGTCTCATGTTAAAGCTACAATCGCGGGCCGATAAACCTACCTCTGGGGATCTCTGCGATGCCCTTCCTGATGTTCCTGTACTAAGACACTAATCGCCACCTTTTATTCTGACGAGAGAGATATTTTCAGGACTTCATTCTGATGTCAACAATGAAGTTTGCATCTCAGAAGTATTCCGTTACAGTAAGTAGTTAATTCGACTTCTGATCACAGCGCTACTCAGAGATATTCTCATAGAGGTTGCATAGTAACAGCTGAGGTAAGGCGATTAGGAATCATTCACAATGCTAAAGACTCTTTCGTATTTTGTCATACTTGACTGAAGACTTTCGAGTAGAAACATACGCCATGTCCCCGCGCAGAGATCCTTGGATGTAGATATGTAGTTTCTAATGACCTCACTGCTTGCTTGGAGAATCGTTGATCTTGCAGATGGCATTCAGCAACTCTAAATTTATCATGGAGAGCTAGAAGCATTGAAAACGTTTCCTGAGAAGCTAGGTACATTTTGTGTCTTGTAGCGGAGTCAAAGTCAGCATTGTGATTAGTTGACTTCCAGTGCCAACACCATCTGCGTGGGGCATGGCGTGATCATGGATTCTCACACGTGTTACCTGAATCTGATGTCCATTGTCTGTAGCTCATGGCCTCCAGTTGGCCAGTTCATGTTATCGAAACTTCGGGCTCAACTTCGGCAGTCTTAATGTGGATCCAACCGTCACGGTTAATGCCAGCCCTGCTTGTCTGCGTCCACCTCTGATCCTACGGAGTGCCGGGGAATTGAAGCTTGATATTTAGAAGCGACTTACCATGCCCACTTTCTCAATTGCGTGCTGCTCTTGTTACCCAACTTGCCCATAACTCTGCAGTATTGATGCAAACTCTGAAATTCCGAATTCCTTATGGAGCCTGACGTGCTTGCGCACCTGAAGGTGCCTGAGGGTGATAAACTCAGCTAGCTGCTGCGAACTAGAAATGCCGGTGTATTCTCAACTTTCGCAAGAGCGGTCTTGATCTCCGTGCCTCTTATCCAAACCGCTGGAACATAACGTCATAATGACCCTCGAGCGATTGGGTCAGATCTACCGATCATGTCTTTTTCAAATCATCATTGTTGGAATTGTGGCATTTTGTGAGCCAGGGATATGGACGGCACTGAACAATCTCGGGGCTGGCGGAAACGCATCCGTAAGTCGCATCCTTTGATGAATCGTAATCCAAATGCTAAGAAATCTTGACAGCCTCTCCTGAACAATGCCGCCAACTCTCTCACATACGGACTCATGTCTGTGGGATGTTTCATAGCAGGAGGCATTACGAACAAGATTACAGCAAAATGGACTCTATTCATCGGCGCGGCATTCTATACTCCCTACGCGGCAGGGCTATACTGCAATAATCGCTATGGAAATGAGTGGTTCTTATTGCTAGGTGCCGGGCTTTGTGGTATCGGAGCATCGCTACTGTGGGCGAGTGAGGCAGCCATTGCTGTTGGGTATCCCGAGGCGGAGAAGAGAGGCCGGTAAGTTCTTTCCACCTGGCTATTTAACACGTGGATAGCTGCCGACTGACAAATAATCGCCCAGTTATGTTGGAATCTGGATGGGTATTCGACAAATGGGACCCCTCGTTGGTGGCGCAATTTCCCTGGCGTTGAATATCAAGACAGCCGAAAAGGGCAAGGTCACCTACACAACATATCTCGGCTTAGTTGCCATCTCATCGTTGGGAGCACCCGCTGCTTTACTGCTATCACAACCCCAGAAAGTCATCAGAACCGATGGTACAAAGATTCCGTACATGAAGCAGACCAACTTCGCCATCGAAGCCAGGGCCATTTGGAAACAGCTAAAGAACAAGTACATGTTGCTGCTCATTCCCGTTTTCTTGGCTGGCCAGTTCGGCACAACCTACCAAGGGAATTATCTGACAAGTACGTCTCTGACAAAGGAACCTTGATTCATGACCATGCAAGTGACTAATAGTCAATCAAAAGCCTACTTCACCGTGCGGTCCAGAGCCTTGGCATCGTTCCTCACAGCCATCGTCGGTGCTGCCGCGAATATAACCACCGGCGCAATCCTGGACGTCAAGCGATTTGAACGCTCCGCTAAATCCAAGGTCGTCTACATCATCATTCTCGTCTTCATCACGACCGCATGGATCTGGAATGCCATCATTGAGACACGCCTATCCCGCATGGAGGACCCGCCGTCTTTCGACCTCGGCGATGGTCCATTCTTCAACTCTGCGTTTACAGTCTACATGTTCTTTAAGTTCTTTTATGAGATGTTGCAGACATACATCTACTGGCTGATGGCTGAGATCAAGGGCGCTCAGGGTGATGGTGATATTGCGCGCACCACGGGAATCTTACGATCGTGGGAATCGATAGGCAGTACAATTGCCTACGCCGTTGGCGCGACACACTGGCCCAACAAGAACCAAATGATTCTGGGATTCTCTCTTTGGGCTGTTACAATCCCGTTCACGCTACTTGCTGTCTTTGGTAACTGGAATCAAGGCGGAGAGGAGACTTTGGAGAATTCAGATGAGACTGAGAGTGATCTGGGTGTCGAGAGAGTTGCAATTCAGAGCAAGGGGGAGCAAGTGTGAGGTGTTTTGTGAGCCTCTAGGAGTGAGCCCGTTATAAGACAAAGATTACACAATCCATAAATAATGAGGTATGGAGCAGTACAGTCTACACAGCCACGGCCCACCATCATTGAGACCTATCTCGCAGTGTTAGAATCAATCATGAGCTGTCATTGGTCGATTTTTGAAGATGAGGTCAGGTAAGTTTCCCGCGCAGTATATTTCTGAACACGCGTGCGAAAGAAAGACTTCTTGACTATTTCGAATTCGAGAACGACAAAATCATTCAGTACTTCGCTCAGTTCCGATAGCATATCGGCAACTAGTCATGGAAAGAATGCTCAAAGTCTCAATTTCGCCCAATTAACCAAGATGGTGTAAAATAATGCTATCAATATCCAACGCCAAGGGTGAGATGCTCAAGTCTCGCCATGATCCGTGCCTCCAGTTATTCTGGCTTCTACCTCCCAACAACGTCAAATTAGAATGCAATCGCCTCATCAAGACACATCTTCTTGTTGTCATCCATCCTGCCCTTGCCTCTACTACAGCAGTCGATCGCCGCGCAAAGCTGTGAATCACTCTGGCTTGCAGTAGCTGTCTTTGGCACCTGCTGCTGCGCCGGCCAGATCTCGCTGCCGGATTGTTGCTCCTTCTTCCAGTGCTCGGTGATGATCTCGCGCACGGTCTTCTGGAAGAAAAGAGGACCCTTCTCCATCTCAGGGTGGAGCTCGCCGTTGACAAAGATGCCAGCGTTGATGTTCTTCTGAGCATTGGCGCAGAGGTACTTGTCCTCGGACATGATGCGCTTGTACATGTCACTGATGACATTGAAGTCCTCGTCACTAGAGTTCTTGTTGCGGTAGACCTCATAGCGCATCTGGGATTTGGAAGGGCCGTCGGGAACGAATCGCTGGATGAAGAAGAAGTGTGGTCTTGACGAAATGTTAGCAAAGAAGTGA